TAAGACTGCGGGCACTTGGAAAACTATCAGACGATTATCTGATTTAGTGACACATATGTAAGCGGAACGATTAAGATTCTTTTTAACATGAAAAGATCATAATCTGGTTGATCAAACAGTCATGAACAAGTCGGATGTAGGTTGCATATAAGCAATACAAAGCAAAAGAAAAGTGTGCCTGCTGCTAAGCCAATGTAGGAATTTATAAATGCCACACAGCATTGTCCCATTTGCCCCAAACATTACCCTTAAAGATCTAATCATGGTTCCATTCTCCAGGCAAATGCCTTACTCTAATTTTGGTAAAACGAAGAACGGTTCTCCACTACCCTACAGTCCAGTAGGGGCTCAATCGCCTGTTTTGCATTGCGCTTGTTGATGCAAGGCTTGGAAAGGCTAAGGAAAACCAATTTTTACATATTTTTTATGCACTGTTCTTGGGCCAATCCAAGGGGCACATGAAGTTTAGGTTTTCAGCTGTTGACTATAGATAGTTGGTGACTTCTGTGCACCGTGACCTACAGGATTGAGGGTGAGAGCATTGGCAACATTTCAACCGTGTGAGCACTTGCTTGATAACACAGCCCCCAAAAAATATCATTACACAGCAGAAGAGGGGTTACACACAGAGACACACACTAACACACAGCGGGCCACAAAATTGTGTGCTTTGATCACAATCAGTTCTGCAGATGCAAGCCCTGCCCCTCTTCTTCCTAAGAATCCCTCCTGAGGTTTCCAGTGTCAAAGCTGTTGGCAAGTTTCATGTTTCTTCATGCCTGTGTTAATTTCTGGCATGCATTTGGTAAACACTCTAAATAACAGTCAGATTTTCCAGGTGTCAACATTCTAATATTATAGTGGGGTTGTAACAACCTTGGATGCTTAGATGTTTAGTTGCAAAGTGTTTTCAACAAGCTGGATGAATAAAAGCTGTAGAAAACTTCATTAAAAATATCCATTGGTTTGGATTCCATGGGAAACCGTGTACTAAAAACAGGTATTGATAAAATAATTAAAAAGCATTAAAAATCCTTAAAATCTATTTAAACCAGAGTTTATGACTGGTAGGAATAAAATAAAACCAAGATTATATCTTGGGTATTTTACTTGGTTTCCTGGTTTTCTGTGTGATTGGGCCTGTTATTATTGATTATTGATATGTCTGGCCAATCACCAGTTGGGGCCAGTAAGGGGAACATTTCGTTATCCTTGGATTTAAAAGCAAATGTAATCCTTAGGTACTGTCCAAGACAAATGGATCCAATTTATAACAGATCTTATAAAGTCCAGCTCTGTCCAGACTTTTTCTAATCGATCCTAGTCTTTTTCACATAATTAGATTGAAATCCAATTGTATACAGTCTAATCCAATCCGGTTCATAAAACAGTACAGTGAAATTCCTGTATTGCCGTTTGGTAAAATGCTATTAAGATAACACACTGAGTCATTATGTTTGCTTGAATCTTTCTCTTGAACATACATGTAGCAAAAGCGGAGGAAAAGATTAATTTCAACAGTTAAAAAAAAAATCTCTAGCAGAAGAAGACTTGGTTCAAATTACCTCCTACTGTGAACAAAGCTGAATGGCTTTGTTAATGATTGAGTCAAGGAAAGAAAGACAGCCAAGCATTGGATCACTGAGATAACTTTTCAAGTGGGAGAAAAAGGGTACTAATATTTAGTTGCAGAGATATTTATATTGATTGGACTATGAGGAATGAAGCACATCTAAACACAGATGAGTCTGGAGTACTTTCTTTGACGAAGAAAAACACCAAATCTACAAAGTTACTTGCATCAGTAGCTCTATTGAAGGCTTCACCTAGATTGCAAACAAATGCAATGGGCCAGGTGTACTTTCTTTAAGTATTGTAGTAGAAAGCACGTTTCTACGTTCTGTGGGGAAATATTAAATTGCATGCAGAGTGCTGGTGCTCCATCCAGAAAACTTAGATGGCTACACATAGAGGTAATGGGTTAAAATAACCTTCCATATCGCAGTTGTTGTTTGTCTTTCTGAAATTATAAGCTTTAATATTTATTTATGACGCCTTCCGTGAAAGTCATGCAGCCAAACACAGGGGGACTGGACCAGATGTAAGGGGTAAAAGAAAAACGTAGGAAAGCAATTTGGCAATTCCTATTGAATTGCCCCTAACTTCTTTTATGGGAGTGCTTTATAAATGTGCTTGTATTGCAGCATTAGTTTCTGTGAAAACTTATATTGGCTCCAGTTGGTCTTTGACACCAAGTATCTCCTTGTCCTGTTTTCCTAGCTGTGAGATGAGCTAATAACCCCCCTCCGTTTCCACATACCATGGTGTGCTTATATCTCATGTCCCCCCTGGCCCTAACACAAACCCCCCTCCCTCTAAGTTTACTACACTGATACTGGCTGCCTAGGCCCACATGTCGCTCTCTGACCTACTGTCCTCCTGCTGCCCCCTGGCTATGCCTCCCCGTGCCCTGCTGCCCGCTGTCTGCCCCCGCTGGCGTTCCTCCTGTCCCTCGTCCCAGGGGAACAGACGGAGCTTCTGATTATCTTTGTGTGGCAGCCTCTGTTTTGTGCTCTGATTAAAGGAGCAGCATGTGGTCTGTGTGCGAGCGGCCTGTGCAGACGCCGCCGTTGGCCAATGCTAACGTTATGTGCTTAATCATTTATGTCTGGAAGATGGGCACATAGGCCTGGGGAAGGAGGGGTGGGAGTGGATGTAGGTGGTGTTGGGGTATTTATCAGCGGCACAGATGCACTCAGGCGCACATGTTGCCAAGATAGCATTCCCAGTGCTCAGGATAACATGACAAGGGCATACTCCAGGCTATGTCTCCACAGACTGTACATATTATCTTTATAAAACGGGCAGCTTGGGGGTTGACTTCCCTCTTAGTTTGTGTTAGTAGATGAAAACCAGCATATTCACAGCTTCAAAAAATTAAATCTAGCCAGACAACGTCTGAAAGTCTGAAGGATATTTCTTTGCTATTGAGTGCAGAAAGTGTTAAGTTAAATTAAAGGAAATCTTTTACTACATAATTATTTTAAAATTGAAAAGAAAGTTGCTATTCAGGTTTGAAGGATTTATGTTTTTTATTAGTCAGAAAAGATTTTGCTACCATAAAAACTGCGTATGGTCAGTTAGGATGACCAATTTTCAACCTTTATTTTACGATTATTACTTGTAAATTGGAAAAAGCCATATGGTGATGTCATGACATTTTAGGCTTTTTGTAACTTAAAACCTTACAGTTAAATTGATGGTATCTATGAATTTATTTTTGGATAAGACCTTTAAAAAAAATCAGGAAAAGCAGATGCGTCACCCTTGAGTACAATTTCCAAAAACTTGAAGGTGCCTCTTTATTCTGTGAATAATTATTTAGCTGCACATTTCACATGGATCCAGATCCTGCTAGAGGTTTTTCCCTTTAAAGGGATGGGGGGCTATCCACTGTTGTCAACTGCATGCTTCAAAAAGTTATTGCTCAATGTCAGCAACTCTTTGCCATCAGCTTTTTAATGTCACCTTTTGCTGATTCAGTTGGAGGGATTGATGAAACTTCAGTGATTTAATGCAATTCTTAGATGGACAACTTTTCTTGTTTTTTACCAATTGGCATAATAGATAAAATGTGACTCTATTGTTTTAAACTAGGGTGAAAATGAATTAGAAAAATGTTTTTGGTACCACAGTAATAAATATTTTAGTTTGACAGTGACAAAACAAAATAACAGAGGAAAGCTTAGAGGTAAACACAGGACTAAGTGATATGAATAAAAAGGGTATAGTGTCTATGTACTTTGATTTAAATAATTGGAGTTCATTTGATTATATAGTTCTATATGTTAGGTTTGTAGACTCAATTTTTGGTATATTTTTGCTGTCTTAATAAATTTAGTTGAACTGATAAGAAATATTTAGCTATAAAGATTATGGCTACATCTGTCAGCCAGCCCAAAAATTGTATTTTATTTGTGAAGTATGGTATTGGCAGTATGATGTTGTGTGGCTATTTTACTAAAGGAGGCAGAGGTACGCAGGGAAATTAGAAGACATTATTAGAAGATTATTATGTACAAAAAGAAAGCATTATGTCAAGAAATTAGCTAGAAAGTTAAAGTATGCATTTTTTTGGGCAGAGATAGAAGGGTGTGTGCTCCAAAATGGACTACCACCTGACTTGGTTACACCTGTTTTTTTTTTTTCTTATTTCAGCAAATCATTCACAGGATCTTGTTTATATCCTACTTATAAAGTTTAAAGGTCAATTAAACCAAACACTAAATTCCTGAATTTCCAAAAGGACTAGAAAAAAATTCCCCCCAAATGATTATTGTTTTGCATAGAAATATTTCAGCTTATACAAACATAAAAAAAATTAACACTTTTATTAGTAAAAGGGCTGTTCTTTTGTACTGTATATGTACATATAAATATACGTGCATATTTTCACACCTAATAATAAGCTAATTATTCACTTTTCTGCGTCCCATTAGATTCTTTATACTCTCACCAGGTAAACAAAAAAAATTCAGGAAACCTTGCGGTCCTATATCTCCTTCCTTCTCCTCGCTGCCACATAGCTTGTCCCTCCAACACACAGTCTTTCACACACACCCCTCTCTCACACAGAGGCAGCCAATAAGAGAGCCCCAGTTCCCCATTGCTTGCCACTCAATGCCTTGTTGCCAGGGCCAACAGGAAAGCATGAGACCCTCTTTGCCTAAGCATTTGAAACTTGGTGTTGACTTTTTTTTTCTGTGAAAGAAAGAAAAAGACTTCATTTATAAAGTTGTGTCTTCTAAGTATGGTGCAGTGGACAGAATGTTCAGCCTGTCTTGGTGGTCTTTCTCTCTGAACGGAGCTCTGAAAATCTCTTCAGAGAGGTCTAGAGCTAACCAACATCAACTTGATATATTTGCACATTTTTATATTTGTTTTTATGAGATTAAAGTTGTTATAATTGAATGTTTTCTTGTTTTTTTTTTCCTTTTTAGGTCCACAATGACAAGAAGGACCTTCCTTTGGGTTCTGCTCACTCTGGTCCTTCCCTGCTCCAGCGAGGAGGGTAAGAATTTAGTTTAAAAGCAAAGCAGCACTAAAAAAGACCTTGAGCTCAACAGCAAAAGGTTTTTTTTTTTCTTTTTTTTCCCTCCCAAAACACAAAAAAGATAGGATCCATTTGAAATTAGTGGTTGTGGCACCACTGAATGCCGAGTTATACTGCACTGTCACCAGAGTACATCCAGCCTTTTCTCTGTCGCTTTTCTTTCTCCTGCTGCATACACCAAAAAATCACACATTTTTCTTCCCCTCTTCTCACCACCCTTTTCTTAGTCTGTCTCCCTTTCATCTGCTGTCTAGCACTGTTATTTTAAACAGCTGCAGTGGATTGCCATGGAAAGTGCTTTTCAGAGTGGCTAACCACTCTTTTTGCCCATGTTTACAGTACATTCCGATTAACCAAACGTGGAAGAAGAATAAGCAAAAAAACATTTATCCTGAAGAAAGAAAACAGGAGGCATATTTCTCTCTCTCTTTTTTTTTTAATAAAGTTGAAATCTGATGTCTAGTGTAAATGTTTTCTTTTCCAGGTGTAGACGGCGTGAGAGCTGAATGTTTATGCGAAGGACCCTCCTGCAGCAGTGGGGAACGATGTTTTGGCCAGCAGTGCTTTGCTTCTCTCTCTCTACTGAATGGAACGACAGTCTTTGAAAGGGGCTGCATCATTGGGGGGGATGAAGATAGGTCGCTGCTCTGTGGAAAGCCACCAACTCCGGAGCTGGTGGTGGAGTGCTGTCTTGGAGATTTGTGCAATGCGAATGTCTCATTGCAGTTTCCAGGGAAAGGTGAGGCATCTGAATGAAGATTGCCCACAGTGTGGGAAAATAAGCAGCCATTCAGTCTCTGCTTTGGAAATGTTTATTTTACCATCACACTTTCCAACCTGTGGCTCTATTTGATTTATTATTTTCCCTAGGCTATAACCTAATTAGAAAGTTTGGGATACAGATTCTTTAGAGGTAATATGAAGGTGTGTTTGCTGATCAAGCTTCAGAGAAAAAACAAATAATCTATCTGTGATTAGCGGTCGCTTGTATTCAGTTTATTCCCATTTAGCACTCTTAGAAGCTGGAATTTTGTCAAGGCACTCATTAAGGGGTTCAAAATCTACAATAAAAATACCCAGTGTTACTAATCCTATTGTAATTTATTAGTTACATGATAATAAATACATCTACTTGTTCCATTTTCAATCCATTGATACTGCAAATAAAGCCTTTAATGTCAGGTTAATTTTTCCCAAGTCTATTAAATCCCACAATAAGCAGCTAGTCTCTGCTGCTTGTACGACCATGTTTTGTCTATAGGACTTTGTCTTCTGAAACATTTCACAATTTTGGACGATACAAAAAGAACGATCTTTGAACATTTGCATTGTACACAATTTATGTACATCATCTAGAGTCAAGGTCATTTGGGCTCTCCACCAAATATAAACAACAGGTTTTCTTTTTTTTTTTCATTTTAAACCACCATAAAATATTAATTTACGTAAAATATTTTCTCTCCCCTCCACATTCCATTTCATTTTGAATTGGGGTGAATTCTGCACATAAATGACTTGTGCAGTCTGTTGTCTTAAAAAGAAATTCTTTGCACTTGTCCAACTTAAAACTTCCTTTAAAGCTTGCTGCAAAGGAAACTGTACTACTTCTGAACCAGCCATTTTTTATGAATTGGAATACAAGCCTTATCATTTCTTTTCACCCCTCATAAGTGAATCTACTTCTATTTTAAACAAAACACACTCTAAAACAATAAAAAGCTGGTTAATTTGATTTTGCTGTTTTTAACTGGGTATTGCATTCTGCAGTTTTCAGAAGTTTGTGTCGCCAGATTTCAGCAAAAGTCCTTTGAATTTTAGTTTTTTTACTTAAGAAGCTGAGTGTGGTGAGGAAACACAGGCATGAACATGTGGTTCTAAAAAAGATTATTCCAGAACCTAGAGATAAAATACATATTCGTTACATTGCAGCTTTGGATGAGTTTTGCCTCTCCTGAAAGTCAGGTGCTTGTTTTTTTAATTTTTTATTTTGAAGAGTTACCTAAAGCAATTGATAACTGGTTCCCCTAAGAAACAGGAAGGCTTGGATTACTTTTAAGAAATTAATCATAATTGTATACTTTATTTTGTGGACATTTTTAATCTGGGTTCCTAAGAATTTGTCTTTTTTTTATTAACAAACTACTCTCACAATAAATGTATTTTTGAAATTCTGACACATTAAAAAGTATTTTTTTTTCAGAATATTTATGTAATAAGAAAAGGTTTTGGATTACAAATGAGGGAAACATGTTAGTGGCATCTGTAGCAACTGGGCAGTAAGGGGATGCTTTTCCTCCTACATGTTTTCTGATGTGAGTGAATGCCATTTAATTTAATGGGTTGGTAATGGTATTGCTCTAATGGGCTTTTCTCCTATCTCTTCCTCTTATCAGATGTCGAGCTGTCTGCCGGCAGACCAGTCCTCAGAGACCAGGAGTGTGTGTGTGAGGGAGGCTCGTGTGAGCCCGGCCGGCGTTGTGCTGGCCAGCAGTGTTTCTCCTCTCTGAATGTGACAGACGGGGCCACCGTCCAGCTAAAGGGCTGCCTGAGGGACGACGAGGAGGGCAGAGCCACCTGTGCCACGCCACCTTCTTCGGTCTATGTCGTTAGGTGCTGCCAGGGCCATCTGTGTAACATGAACGTCACGGTGCAAGTCCAGGGAAAAGGTGACTTCTGCACGTCGAACAACATTACATCACTGACCTTGTGTCACTTTACATGCAGAAGATTTGCTTTGGTAGTTAATTGTTACTGACAACAACAACAAAAAAACAAACACTCAAATGATGTGTAGATTTTTTTAATGTTGCCTTTTCTCTTATATCTTTTTCAGAAAAGGAAAAGAAGCGTCCGACAGACGAGGAGCATGAGTGTGTGTGCGAGGGCAGCTCCTGCGTGTCAGGGTCCCGCTGCAGGGGCAGCCTCTGTTTTTCATCTCTGACGGTCAACAACGGCATGCTTGTGTACCAGAAAGGCTGCTTCAAGGTGTATGAACAGAGCACGATGACCTGCAAGACGCCGCCGTCCAGTGAGCAGAGAGTCGAGTGTTGCTACGGGCATCTGTGTAACATGAACATCACTGTGGAGCTTCCTGTCAAAGGTACGACACCGACTCATTTGTTTCCTCCACTATTTTACTTTACTCATCTGAAATCTTGGATTTTTTTAGTGATGTACCTTCAATCACAATAAACACACAGAAACCATATTTAGGGAAGGGGTGGGCTAGGGGTTAGCGCATAGAGCTTGGAATCCTGAGGTTGTGTCAGCCGTAGATTCTTTGTCAAACAGTTTGTTTTTTGTTTCAACAAGTTCACAGAAAAGTATTATTTTTTTATATGTATTAAGTGGAACAGTTGTGTGTAAATGCATTTTTACTAGTGTTTTTTTTTTTTTTTTATGTACTTGTTGTAAGGCCTTGATAAAGTTTTCATACCCCTGGGACTCAAGAAATACCTAATAGTTTTTTGCAACAAATATCCACAAGTTAATGCTCTAAGTAGAATGAGTGACGTGGAACAAAGTATAAATGTCAATCAGTTTGTGATTGACAAATAAACCTGTAAAGTTAAGCTGCAATTTTTGTTCAGACACTTAGTCTTAAAGTATTTATAGATCCATTTCTGCTGCTGTTGTTCAGAGTACGTCTCTACCAACTGTGAACGTCCAGAGACTAAAATTGATGCCAATTTTTAACTGCAAAACCGCTCAAACTCAAAAGATTTAGGACTGGACTCTATACAGGCCGTCCTAACCCGGATGTATTTTAAACCAAACAGTTTTATTTATTTTATCTTTGGCCTAAGTTTGTGCCTCTGTCCTGCTGAAGATAGAGTCTCCAGCTCAGAATGAAATCTTCTGCTGCCTTAAACATGTCACCCCACTGACATGTCTTGTATTAAGCGACATCTAACCTGGCCAGATAAACTATCCTGATGAAAGCACGATGTTACCACCACCATGTGACGAGTAAAAATATTTACATTAGACTTAATCAAATCACTGTCTTTTGTGATGTTTTCAATATTCCTTCAAATAATTCAGAGAATTTCTTGTTGCCTCTTATGTCGTGGTTGCTGGAAATATGAATGATAATAGTAAATGGATTTTATTTTTTTTTTCTGCTAACTGCGAGCTCCTTCAGTAAAATCTTGGCTGAAGCCAAAGCAGCTAGACAGACAGAGGTGCTAGTTATGTGTATGAAGGAGTTCATTATGCCAGTTGGGTAAAGGGTGTGCAATATTTGTCCTGCAGGGAGACTGGAGCTGTCTTCTCCTGAGAACGGTGTTAAAATCCTCACGCCAGTTGCTTGATTAGATCCAGACTCTCCTGCACAGATGACTGCATTATTATTAAAATTAGATGTACTCAATTAACAGACTATCTCCTCTGGATTTTGCTGGAAATCTCTTTCTTTTTTCTGCACACAAAAGTCAAATTCAGTTATTTAATCTTTTCTCCTTGCAGTCGACGATCTGTCCAGCTACAATGTCACCACGCTGACTATGGCCATTGTGGCGCCCATCATCGTCCTCATCATCCTTTCCACAGTGGCCATCCTCATATTTAGGCGCGTCCATCGCAACCAAATGGAGAGGCTGACGTCACGAGACGCTGAATATGGAACAATTGACGGACTTATAGCGTCAAATGTTGGGGAAAGCACGCTGGCGGTACGTAATGCAAGTGGTTATTGAGAGAACCGATGGCAGAGGTTTTTAAAGGAACTAGATTTATAGGAATTAAGTAGGTGATTGTTAATAGGTACCTTGTTAACCTGGTCAGAGTTTGGTCCCAGTTGATAGTATATTGAGCTAATCAATCATTTGAATCACAAGCATTCTTTCATTTTTTGGGGTAGAATCACGATGGCAAAAGACTGGCACAGAGTAAAATATTAGATTTAAAGTTTCATACTTGCAAACTGTAGATGGAAACATAACTAGTCTGTTGGATGGACTTTAAATACATTGTAATGGTCAAAATGTTTGACAATGGTGACAAACTGGGCTTATTCCCAGCTGCCTGAGTTTATTTTATAATTTTGAGGAAACATATTTAGTTTTTTTTTTTTTCTTGGAAGTACATTTTTAGATATGTAGGTATTGTTAATTTGAATGCAGCACAAGCAAAACACGCATTCATGTATTTGTTATACTAATCGGTGAAATTAGGCGCAATTGATGTTCTTCCAATCAAAGTATTTGTATGTGTAAAATATGCATCAGTAGGCAGCAGTGGTAAAAATATGTGCTGGTTTGAGTCAAATCATCTACAGCCGCTAAATTGTAATCAATGGTCGTGGCAATATTTGGCTTATTAGACACCAACTTTAAAAGCTTTTACTCTGACTTTGATCTTATCAAACCTTTGTTTTGTTTGTTTGCAAAATTATTGATTTTATTCAGGTTTTATGTAATAAGCTCTTTATGTTTGGTGGAGCATATCAGGTAGTGTGTTATTAATTAGATACAGCTAAAGCCAGTCATTCAAGTAAGATAACCTGTGATCCATTGGATCACTGTTATGAAGGAAAACGGGGCTTCATCTTTTCTTGGGAATGTTTTGTGCAACTTGAACTGAGAATTTTGTCAGTTCAAGAGGGAGGAATGGCTGCAGGTGACTGAAAAGACAAGAATATAAGTAAAAAAAACCAGGAAACTGGTTAAGGAAAACCTCCTCAGGCCCTCTATACAGAGTTAAACAACAAACAACTAATATATGGCCTTTCTGGGGGCATGGTCCAGTTTCAGAAAAACCTTTGATAATGCCTCAGTCTGCGATACTGCCTGCATACTGATTGTAATGAAGCTTTTCTTAATGGGTCCAACTCTAACTTTGTATCTAAAGTGCAGGTTCACTGTTTCAGGTATAGATAATAGATGTTTTCCAAGTCTGATCATGGATAAAAATTACTGTTTTCTTAGTTCATTTCTCTTCCGATATGGAAGCAGTTTCTCCTTTCTTAACTTTGATATGTAAGCTACATAAACAAACATTATTCAGCTCTTTTTATTTGAGGGTAGAATAGCTTGTTAATTATGTGTTCTATAAACTGGAGATGAGGAGGTAATTCTTGGATTAGGGGGGACTTTTGCCTACTGTTTGCACACACTGTTGACATAATAGTGCATAATAGGTACCTGATGCCTGATAAATGGCTGTTTGGGGAACATGGCCTGAAAGTTTCCTATAACTTGTATTTTGAACATGAAACCATATTTATTTTCAATCCGACCACCAAGTTTATGGTAGCAAGACTTGTTGTCCTCAGATGTAGAGTAGTTCCAATTTCTTAGGTTTTGTGATTCTTTAGAGGTAATGTTTAGGTCTTAACCCAAGCATAATGGCTGTGAGGCCAACACGTCTCCAAACATGTTTCAACAGTGACGGCCATGACTGAAAGCCCTGTACTTTGCAGATCTTAATCTCAAAAATGTTTTTCTACACAGAAAAAAAAACAGGAACAAAACAAAACACAGTTCTGCTAGAATATTTGTGTGACTGCAGTACACCGGGGAACGGTGGGGTTGTTTTGCACCGTCTGCCATTTTTTCGCTGCCGTCTCCTGGAGGAATGTTTTTGCTATTTATTTTCTCTCTACTCAGCTGTGGATTGTACATCTCCCACAGTGTGGTTTGTGTTTGAAGGCTGCTAAACTGATCCAGAGTTTAGGTGGAGCCCTGTGGTTGGCCTTTCGTCTGGAAAAAACCGACTCTGCGGCGCATTGGCTTGCTAGTACACTGCAATCGAGATGAGCAGGAAAGACTCAGTTTAGTCTGAGCCAAACTGACTAAACCTCATTAAAACCTTTCATGATTAACTGTTATTTTTCAGTCATAGTTTCAGTTGTAAATTTTTTTAAGTGTATCAGACTCCTAAGACACCCCTGCTTTATAAAAAAAACCCAGTTTTTTACCCCTTGTAGTTTTTTAACAGTTTGTCAGGTTTCAGACGACACCCATCACTGTATTTTACTGGCGTTTTATGGTATAGAACAGCACAAACTAGTGGAAGTGGATGTTTGTTAGAACACTGGTACCAAACACTGTAGAGAAAAAAGATCTGATTGTTTTTTGTCAATGATCAAAGCATTAAGTTAGAGTTATCAAACTATATCCTTCTATAGACTATGGCACCCCGGCAAGTCTATCATCCCTCTTTACTGAGAGGGCGGGCAATGAGAGCATTGGAGTGGTGTTAACAAAGCCATCCATGGCATCTCTGGAGGCATTGGAGAGCTCCGCAGAGACGCACCCTAAAAGACTTAATCAAAGATGGTTCTACAAAGTATTGTCTCAGGAGGCTGAAATCAAATGGAGACCACACTAAAGGCATTCATTTTTGGAAAAATCATGTATGGCTTTTCCTTCCACTTAACAGCTAAGTGCTACTGGGCGTTGATTAACCACATGGCATGCAAATAAAACAGACTGAAGTAGGAAGTACCGTGACAAAATATAAAAAAAATCCAGCCCTTCTGCAAAGCACTGTATTTTCTTTCAGTTCACTTGGCGGTGAAAGGCTTAAATATTCATACTGCTTCAGCAGTATGAATAAAAAGCTTGGCGGTGCAATAAGAGAGAGAGAGATTATCAGGAACTAAGGGAAAATAAATGTCTGTGAAACCCATGGCATTGTCCTGCTGCAGCTTGCTGGCAAACCTTTCTCTCTGGCTTTAACAATATCGTACCGCACTCATTACATTCTGCTGCCTAATGGCTTGGCCCTAATACAACCTTCCGAAAAAAAACAAAAAAAGAAAACATTTTTACAATTTCAACTTTCTGCAATGCTCTGAAGATTTAGCCATCATTTTCTTTTTAGTCTCAGCCCCATTCCTGTGTTGTGATTCCAAATGATGCATCTTTTTATCTGAGCCATTACTTTTCTGTGTTTTCAATCCCCCCCTCCTCAAAGTCATTTATTTCTACTCAGCGGCTGTACGCTCCATAGCTGCACACTACCCCCTTGTGCTAGCTTTTGGAAACTGCGTACAGTTCTGATGAGATAAAAATAAAAGGCTTAGCAGCATTGCGTCTGTTTTGGAGTCTGGCTCTTGGATTAGATAAAATCTCCAGCGCCCACACCAGTCGCTAGGGAGGTGGCGCCTCCTCTGTTGTTTACTCAGTAGGGGGCACTCTGCACCTCCAACACACACATCTTACGCCCCCAGTCTCATGTAGGCGCCACATCAAAGACTCCTTGCTTGTGTTAATCCCCATCTGACTCCCAGATGCTCAGTATTTCATCATTTGCAATCCTGAGCCTCAGGAATTTTTTTTAAGGCTGTTTTCATTAAATTGGCCTGCTTTTAAATTATACAGAATCTCAATATAAGGTATATAGTCTCCTAACCATGTATGTCTTTTGGGTTTTCCAGGATCTGCTGGATCATTCCTGCACTTCTGGAAGTGGCTCTGGTCTCCCGTTTCTTGTTCAGAGGACTGTTGCCCGACAGATCACTCTGAATGAGTGCGTGGGTAAGTTACAGTTGATACTCTGCAAACTTATTTTATCCAGATATGGTCGGATCCTGCTGTAACGTACCACCTGTGTTCATTTTGTCTTTATTCATGTTTAGACAAGAAGGAATCACCCATGCATTTGTTAGATAAAAAGTTTCTCATCTCCCGATGTTCCTCCAAACTGTTTGTTTTGACTTTGGTAGATTAATGGGGATTTTTCATATCTTGGAGTCAACAAGGATCAAAAAGGTGAAGTTGGTTTAGAAACATTTAATATAATCAAAACATATTGTTAAAATCCAGAAAAAGCATCAGAGGGGAAATGTTGTTGGGCAGTGAAATCCCCTGAGGGTTAGAAGTTGCTTCAGATAATTAGTGAGTTAAATGTTAGTGAATGAAATGCAAAAAAGCAAAAGTATTTTTTAAATCCTTGAATGGACCATATAGAGAGAAACAGACATCCTGTATATTGCAATGACACTCCACAGTAATACATATGTGGCCACTAGAGGGCAGCACAGAACTTGTATTTACAAACTCTTCCATTGTTGGTTAGTATCTTCTTCATGATTTGTTGATACAAATCCATCAAACTATCTGTATTGGAATTCAGGTTTACATTTGAAACCATTGTTCGTGTTTTTAAGAAGATGTTTGTAGAAGTTTGTGCTTCATCTACATCAGTCTTAAAGTACAACTTTGCTTGAAATTGTTTTTTTTTGGGTGTGAATCTGGATCAAACATGCTTTAGCAAAGTGCAGAGATGCTATACCCTTTTTAAACCCCTTTTATCAGACACAAATTCATTTAAATTAGTTGATTTCCTGCCCAAGAACCAACATAGGTTTTTGCTTTCTTATGCAACTCTGTTCCGGATCATCCCAGAAGCCAAGCTTTATTTATTCTGAAACAAGGTTTGATGTTGTTAGTACTCTATCTAAACACTGTCTTCAAACATTTTTTACCCTTTCATCTGTTCATTTAGAAAAAAGTCTATTTTCCTACTTATTGTAACACACCAGTGTTACTGGAAACAAGTCCTCAGCATAATGCTACCACCACTGTGCTTGACAGCAGGCATTATTTGCTCATATTTGAAAATCTTACCAAGACTTAAGTTTTTATTTTTGAAATTATGGCCAAATAAGTCAAACTAGTTTGACTCTGATGCCTGTGATAGTAAAGATTCCCAGAATGATGCTACCACCACCGTGTCTGACAGTGTTACTTTTAAAAACATTATTCTTGTCACTGTACCATAACCTTCTTAACAGATGAAAAAGTGTGTTGTTTCTGATTACCTTGCTATGGACATTTATTCAAAAATAATGATTAATGCAGGTAAATGCATTTAACTCTTCTCTGCCAGTAGTGTTTTAACCTAAGATGCTGAATAGAACTAAATCTTTCTTTTACCTATAAATTTAAAAAAATGTTGTTGTTTTTTTATTGGTATATGAATTACTTAAAAGAAACGATTTAACATTATAAATCTGTTTTATTAGTAAAAGCTTAGTATGCATACATATTGAAATTCATCAACAAATCCTTCACTTTTTATCTTCTTGTATGTCCTTGTTTTGAATTGTTCCTGTCTTGTTGCTCAGGTAAAGGCCGCTATGGTGAAGTGTGGAGGGGTCAGTGGCAGGGGGAGAGCGTTGCTGTGAAAATCTTCTCCTCCAGAGATGAGAAGTCCTGGTTTAGAGAGACTGAGATCTACAACACTGTGCTACTGAGGCATGACAACATCCTGGGTGTGTAACATGTTTGTCACAAATAGAAAATATAAGGCTTTCCAAAAGGCAGAAAAGAAAATGGAAAAAATGAAAGTTTTATTCCCCAAATTTCTTTTGGCCGTTCAATCTTTTCAAATGCATAGCTTTATGTTAGATTTCTCTATATTATGCAGCTTACTGCCTAGACTTTAAAATTCATTCCATGCTTGTTTGATAAGACTTGTGCATCATGCTACATGAATAGTTTTGTTTCCTGCCATTTATTATGTTTACTTGATTGTTGATTTATTGGTTAACATGATTTACATGCTTATAGTAGAGATTATCCTTATCAGATAAGCAATTTTCAACCCTTGCTTTAAGATTTAATGCACACATTTAAACCTGTATGCTCTTTTAGCAGAAATAATGCGAGTTTTTAACAACATCCTAGATGTTAATTAAATTTCTGCTTTTTGCATTGATATTAGAATTGATGCAATATCATTGCATATTCAAATCCTGCATGTTTCATCATGAAAAGTAGTTTACTCTGTAAGCTCCTACTAACTTCTTATCAGCACGAGTTACCTTTCTCAGAAAGGACACCCACTGCAAAAGCATGGCAGTTTTTGTCTGGTGCATTCACTGGTTGTGAAAGTATTAGACTTTTCAGTTGCTAATCAATTTTCTTTGTGCAGCTCTAATTTAAAATCTGACCCCCAGAAAACCATCTGCAGGGAATCTCTACTTTAGAATAGAAATAAAAAAACTTGTGGCGAAGATTTTTTTAAATTAAATGTATCAAGAAACAATGTTTAGGGAGGTAAAATCTTATATTCAAAATATTCAGATGAATTTAGTAAAACATTCACAGTTCACTGGTGTCATTTTATATCAATAAAAGTGTCAAAAGTTTTAAGACATATTACAAAGTTGAACCTTTGTGGTGAATTTCTGGCTTCATATTAACAGAAACCTAACATTTTCTTGGAATGCAGTTTTTTATGTGACAAGTTCTCTTCTCTGCCATTGGTGTTTATGCTGTAGTGTTTATTGGTCACATACAAGCAGCTGTTTGTGGCTGTATGAAACTTTCAGCAACTTTAATGTGTTTCTCAACTTAGGCTTCATCGCCTCAGACATGACTTCCAGGAACTCCAGCACTCAGCTGTGGCTCATCACTCACTTCCACGAAATGGGTTCCTTGTACGACTATCTTCAGCTCAGCACCCTGGATGCGTCCAGCTCCCTCCGCATGGCGCTCTCAATAGCCAGTGGCTTGGCACACTTACACGTTGAGATCTTCGGCACGCAGGGCAAGCCTGCTATTGCCCACCGAGACCTCAAGAGCAAAAATATATTGGTGAAAAAGAATGGACAGTGCTGCATTGCTGACTTAGGTAAAAATTGTTTTTTGTGGGTTCCTGCACTAAAATTTATTTTTCAATTATAGCAGCTTTGAAGAGTTTGGAACGTGAAGAGATCTTTGTGGGACTTGAAGGGTATAAATGTTACTTCTAAAATAATATGACTGTATTTAAAGGGTTGTGCATCATGCCTACTTTGCTTAATGAAGCAGTTATTTGTATCTGAGGACCTGCTAGGATGAACATTAACCAAATTATCCCTCCATTTCCCCCTGTCTGCTAAGCCATATTTGTTGTTGTCTTAGAAAAACAATCATTGCTAAATGTATCAGATGACTCTTAACCAAAAAGAGCGTGGAGCACTTGATCCAATGCACCAATGTTCCATTTCACAGATGCTTGAATAACATCTAATTTACCTGAAGGGCTGGATTAGATGTAATGAATTTGGCTGCTGTTGACGTATTGTGCTGTGCAGACAAACATGGTTGCGGTTGTTTGTCTAATCAGCGTTTTGTTGTTTTGAAGTACATCCAGTGTGCTGGTACAGGGCTCTTTGCTCTAAATTGGTCGTGTTTTATCGTTTAATTCAGCTGAATGAGTCCAGTGTGGTGTCTTTGATAAAGTGGTTTAAACGGAAGGCCTCCCACTGACAATGCACCATGTTGTTGCCATAGAAACATGTCTGACGTTTTATTTTAGTTTCTGTCTAGAGACTTTGATAGAAAAATGGTGTTAAAAACTTGAAGTTTTTTGGTTTTCATGGCAGGTCTGGCAGTCATGCATTTTCAAGACACTAATGAACTGGATGTGGGGAACAACCCTAAAGTTGGTACCAAGCGCTACATGGCCCCTGAGGTGCTGGACGACTCCATCCAGATGGACTGCTTCGAGTCCTTCAAGAGGGTGGACATTTGGGCGCTGGGCCTCGTCCTGTGGGAGGTCGCTAGGAGGACAGTAAGCAATGGTCAGTATGTTCTTCATCAATGACTCTATTATGTATCTGAAAAAGTAGCATTGCATGTTAACTAGTGTGTTATTATCCCTTTATTGTCCCATAATAGGGAAATTGTGGTGTTACAGCAGCAAAAGGTTATAACAGAACTGGTCACTCAATGTAGACCGTAGAAAGTGTTTAAATACTGTATAACAGAATAAGTTACAAAGTTAAGAAAAAAAAGTACTGTACTGTGTTTTTACAATAAATATAATTTGTATCTGGAGAGTAAATAATCAATAATCAGCTATGGAAATTTTTACAGTGGTGGATATGTGGAAAAATAGCAGCAACAATCAGATGTGCAGAATGACAGCAGCATGTTATTTAACTGACTAAAGTAGAAACGGCAAAAATCAGCATGAATGTAACAACTTTTTCATCATCCATCCATTCGACCAACTGTTGGATGGTTAATCATCCATACTTGCATTCAACCCTCCATCTACTCCGCCTTGCCCCCCCCTGGTCTATACCACCCATAAGGACGTTCATCTGCCCAGTAATTCGTCCGTAAATCCGTCTGTTGGTCGTCTCTGTCCATCCATCCATCCATCTGTTCAATGTCTTATTGCTCATTTATCTATCTATCTATCCACCCTCTTTCTCCATTGACAGATCTGTTCTAGATTTAAAAATGGACTATAAAGCACTGCGAACTCTACACTTATGCTTCTAATAGTATCACATGATTAATTTATGCCCAAAAAAACACTAGAAACTCCAGCAAACCCACAATGAGTCTCTTTTTTTTGGCTTGCATTCTCTCCTCCATGTAGGCATCGTTGAAGACTATAAGCCACCGTTTCATGACGTGGTTCCCAGTGATCCCAGCTTCGAGGACATGAAGAAGGTGGTGTGTGTGGATCAGCAGAGGCCCAATATCCCAAACAGATGGTTCTCAGACCCGGTGAGTAATGTTCAAACTGGTTTTCTCATACACATAGTGAGACTGCGATTTTAATAATTACACTGATTGATTTGTTTCACCTTATTTTTCAGACTTTAAGCTCCTTGGCTAAACTCATGAAGGAGTGCTGGTACCAGAACCCGTCTGCCAGATTAACATCACTTCGCATCAAAAAGACTCTGACCAAGATTGACAACTCTTTGGATAAAATCAAAACAGACATATGAGCCTTTGCTTGAGAAGAAGAGGCCTTTGAAAACATCCAGAGGATGGGAAATCTTATAGAAAGTCTCAGAAGATAAAAGACTTGATGTGTTTAGTGCCCTTATAGCGGCACAGACCTATATTTATTATAAAACACCAGGAAGGACACGTTTTGGCATCCAAAGATGGCTTGATGGGCATTTCCGAGACTGCCCATGTAGTCTTGGAAAAAGGAAACCATCAATTCAATGTATGGCATAGGAGCTGGACTGTTGGAAACCTTCTTCAAGGAGGAAGCTGTTACCCGGGCATTTGAATAGTTTGTTTTTTTAGAAACGCAGATTTTGCTTTACACATTTTCCAGTTTAAAAGACGTTTTAAAAGACGTCCGAACATGATCTCATCTTATTCTTTTTAATTGTGCTTCATTCATTTGCATTATGGTACGCTCATGTAGGAAAAAATATAAACAACCAAGGTTTAAGGTACGTCTGTGACAGCAACTGCAGCAAGAGGCATCATGTTGTACTAATGCGCTAATGTGTACTATGCTGTAAAAACAAGTTTCACCTGAAATGTAATGAGGTGTACGGCTGCGCTTGGTGCACTTATCCTTTGGCAGATGGATGTCATTCAACTAGAGATACTTTGTCTCAACCATTTTGTGTATTACATAAAATTTACATTTTGTTTTCAGCTTTAGAGTTAAAATCAGATATCTGCCACTTATTGCTGTTTTTTTTCCAAAGGCCTGTCAGTAACGATGTAAAGCCTGTATACTGTCTTAACGCGTGCATTGTTGTCCTAATGCGTGCATCGTCAAGTAAGTGAAGTCAGATTTAAGCCTTTTTTTTTATTATTTCTTTAAAATTTTATATCAACTAGTGATTTCTATTAATTAAATAGAAAACAATATGTATGTATCCGTCTCATTTGTCTTTATGGACTTTCTCAAAAAAAAATAACAGCCATAAAAGTGGTTTGTTTGTTTTTTGAGTAGAGCTATTTGCTTGTCCTTCGTTTATTTATATAT